AGAAATTGTTGTTACGATTTAGTATAAATAAATGATATTAGATTAGTAAAAAAAGTAGTTAATTTTTAATTTTTTGATTAAAAATCCCATTTGCGTAACAATTTTTTGTTAAGAATAAAGATATTTATTACTAATAAAAGAATTATTAATATATTTTACAATTTTTTCCGGAATAATTCCGTATCTTTTATAATAATCAATAAAAATTATAATTCATACGGAATTTCCGTATGCAAAATTTTTATAGGAAAGGAGACGCCTTTGGGATATAATTATTTACATAGAACCTAGGGACCCTTTTATCCAGGAAGATAAAAGTAATCTTTGACCATAAGTCAGTAAGTAGGCTGTGTGTCATATATATATAAATAAAGGAAACTTGACTGTAAGTCAGTGAGTAGGCTGTGTGTCAAACAATAGAATCAACTGTAAGTCAGTGAGTAGGCTGTGTGTTGAACATTAGATAACCTATTAATTAGGAAACTCGGATTGCATGCTTGCAAGCTTATTTATCTTTTAAAAATAAAAACATATTATTAAATTGCAAATGATAAGATATTAATCCACACCTGCATTTGGTTATTCTTTTTATCACTATTACTGTTGTAATAATTATCAATTCAGACAATGTAATATTATAAAAATGCAACTATCCTTGAAAATTTTGTTTGAATTCACTAAATCTAAATTAGATATTTTTATTATAACAAGCATTGTTATACTTCTAACAAAAAAGATAATTTGAAGTTTCATTTTTTAATTAATAAATATCAATGAGAGTTTTGATTATTTGAATTTTATTTACCTATTTATTATTTTTTTTTGTTCTTATTCTTGAAGAATGTTAAGTGAACATAAACTCTATTTTTTTTAATTTCTTTTGCCAAATTCATTTGAACCCTGAAATCATTGGGTAGTAGTACAAATGTTCACTTTGTTGAATTTTGTTGTTGCAACATGGCCCATACAATAATATCTTTAAAACGTTATAAACTCGGTCTAGATCTATTGTGACATGCACTGTACAAATAATAACAATAATAATTTTTGTTTTAAGAATTTTTGTTACTCAATATTTCTTGTATTCTCTTGGTTTTATCTTCTAATAGATATAAATCAAATAACTTCTGGCTCAATAACTAAAAAGCAGGGGTAAAAACATTGTATTAACTAACGTCTTGGAAGGTGTTGGAAAAATAAATTCCCTATAATTAATCAATTGAAATTGTTTGTTTGTTTGTTTGTTTACCTGATATTCTTGTA